AAATAAAATGTAGTTGTGCTTTAAAAGGGCCCAAACAAAAAAGTATTTGTGAGTAATCGAACAGAATGTTTGAATTGTCCCCCCAAAAAGGTCATTTTGTTTTTAAATTCACAGCATTTGATTTATTTCTAATAATTGCCATAATTTGAAAATTCTAAGATTGAAAATTTAAAAAACAAAAAAAACCCATCAAATTGCATGAAGGAGAAACCTTTCTCATTCTACTTTTCACTGGTCTGTGAAGGGCTAACAACAGTTCGGACATGCCCTGCTCCTCCTTGAAATGCCAGATCCAGGACCAAGCACAGACCCTTTGAAGAGGCTCAGCCAGCCGTGCAGAGCAAGAAGCATTTGTTTCCAGGACAGTATTGGATGTTTTCCCTTCTTCCTCTCGAGGAGGATGTTTGTTACTGATAGTACTGCTCTGAGCAATAGAAATAAATTTTAAGCCGAGAATGAAAGGGAAGAGGCTGCAGTCTCCCATACTGATCGCCAGTTATGTTGCCATCAACAGGAGTTTTGCAAGAGACTTATGGAGTCAGGATTAGACCTTTGATCTGTTTTTTCCTGGTATTAGTGCCCTCTGGCTCTATCAAGTCAGTCTGATCTAAAAGTTAGAAGGAAACATAGTAAAAGACCTAGCAAGTGGTGCTAAAGCCATCTGCAAGTTTAGCACATCTTTCTCCTTAGCTGCAGGCCCAGCACCAGGAAAAGGGGTTTTTGCTAAACCTTCTTTACTAAGCATCAGCTTCATGGTTGCATGACTAGGTGGGTGATGTGGAAAGTGTTTTTCTAATAACAGGGTGACTAGCACTTGTGTAGAATTTCTCAGAAGAGGAAGGATATCTTACGCTAATTCTAACTTGGCTAATTTCCCCTTGAGCCCTCAGTTACACATAAGCGCTCAACCACAGGCACTATCCCAGTCACCTAATAGCCCAGTTCTTGTGCCCAGCAGTATGCTCTGTTGATCCCTGAACATGGTCCAACTCTGTACAGGCCCTAGACTATCCATCATCATAGTCCATGCCTTGGGTTTTTGCAAATCCCGCTTGATTTGTGAGATAAAGTATATCACAGCTATTGCTGCACAGGTAGGATTTTGTTGGAGTCTCAAAAAAAGATAACAAAAAGGGCATGGGGTGAGCCAGTTGTTTTCTTGATTTTACGAAAAACTATAGAAAATATAGAAACACAATTAACATGAGGTTTCTTAAGCTAGCCTAGAGGTGACTAATAATTTAATATCTTACTGTAAGATCTCAGATAGCAGTTTCCCTGTTCAGTGGATGTAGATTGCCCTCTAGCGAGGACACTGCAAAGCAAATAATACCATTCAGCTTGCAGCCACCAGAATGGGAACCACAGTATTTTAATACCTGAGCCACAGCTTGTTTCTGAAGTGGCAGTTTGCTGTGCGATGCGATTAGTGTGAGGAGGGGCAGCAGTCACCTCTCACAGGTGCCGGTGTGTGTACCTGTGCTGGCTGGAGCTTTCTTGACATTTGCTTTTTGTTTGAGCGAACTGCCTCTACAAACATCTCCCGGCTGCTGCCGGATCACTAGCAAAAGGTCCCTGCTCTCTTCTGCTTTGAAAAAGGGGAGAATATTCCCTGGGGATTTTTGGTGAAGGATGATCTTTTTCCGTGGTTTTTGTCTTACCATTTGCTCCATGAAACACGCTTCAGTTCTATGGTTTCACCTGTATACACACCTGTGGTTTGGAGATCATCACGGGACAATTCTCTCTCTTCAGCCCAACGCTGGTACATCCAAAGGTGTTGCCTGGAGGGTTAGAAATGGTCCTTCTGCCTGCGTAGACGCCTGTGTCTGTGCCAAATGACAATTTTGGTGTGTTCCCAGTTCTCCAGAGCTGTTAAACACTTACAGAAAATCATTAACCAGCAATAGGTTTTAAAAAAAAAAAAAAAGGAAAACAAATACCTGCTGCCTGTGGCAAGCAGGTCATACCTGATTCATCCTGTCCCCAAGATCTTACTTAAACCAGCACATCAGTTTAAACTCTGCCCGGAGCTGCAGAGCTGTCGTCTCCTGGGTTGTGGGTGCCCCGCATCACCTGTCTGTTGGCCACAGAGTCCTTTTGCTTGCACACACAGGTCCCCTCAGGGCAATGGCACAGCAGTTTGGCAGCCGCCTTGGCTCCTTGGTGCCTGTGGGAACCTGTCACAGCCCTGGGTGCAACCTTCCCTCAGGGGGGCCATCCCTGCAGATGTGAACCTGCAGGCAGTTCTGGAGGAGCAGGTTTCTCTGGGTGCTGGGTACCAGGCTCTGGGCTGAGGATCTGCAATTGGGAAAGAGGAGGTGCTCAGGTCTGCCTGGGTTTTCCTTCCCCTGAGTCCTTCTAGGGAGCAATGTCATGACTCCTGCTGAAATCCAAGGGCTCCTCATCCAAATCATGGGCTCAGCTTGCCCCAGGTGCTGCTCCAACCCCTGTGAGGCCCAGTGTGTCCGTGCATGCTTGACCATAATTACACAGAAATTAATTATTAACATTTAGTCATCAAAGGTAAACCAGATCTTTGGTTGCTAGCTTGATATTAGATTAATAGTCATGGCTATTCCTGGTAGATGTTGTCTGTTTAAAACTCTCTGACTAAAAGCTCAACAGTTTACTCTCAGATCCGTGATTTCCGGCATGCAGACTGCCAGAGGCACAGCCTGACTGCATGTATGGCTGGTGCATGAGTGAAGACAGCACCCTGCCATCAGCACGATCCTCCCGGCGGCTGTAGGACCCCCGCTAACACATGGCGTTTGGGGAGCTGGGGTGGACTGCACAATCACCCAGCCTCCTCCACATGGCACCTGTGGGATGGATGGCAGGCACTAATGCCATCTAGTGACCAAAAACAACGCGATGTGGATATTTTATGAAATGCCACTGAAAATTTTATAGCCCCCAAGTGGGGCAGGCCTTGGGGCTGGGAAGGAGGGAGATGGTGCTGGGTGTGCTGGAAAAAGAAGTCCCTTTTCCCTGCTCGTCTGACCTATGTCTTTCCTCATTTCACATCCCATGAAATGCTTCTGCAGGTAACCGGGGGCTGGGATCTCTCACATGAGGCTGTATAAATCCCCAGAGGAGCAAGGCACAGGCTTCCTAAGCAGCTCTGTTGATTGAGGAGCTCAAATTCGCCGACTTACTGCTGAATTGTGGAGCACAAACCCAATGCCCGGGGACAAGGTGACTGCAGGAGGGGAGATGTTTTGCTCCATTACTGGCGTGAACATCATGGGCAGAGACCCTGGGGACTAATTTAATCTGGCAGCATGGGCTGCAATGCGGTGCCATTGCTGCAGCTTTGAGTTTAGCTGAGATGGGGCAAGGGATGGCAGCTTCTGCCGCTGTCCTGATAGCAGCAGCTCCTTACTGCAGCTCATACAACCTGACACTTTTTGGGTTTTTTTCTCCCACCACCTTTATTTCTCCCTCTTGGCTTCTGTAGGTGATAGCCGTGAAGGCATTAATGTGCTGGGTTTCTGCACGGGTGACTGGCTGGAGACACCATTGCTTTGTACCTACATATTAATCTAGCCAAGTCATGGTGCCACAAACCTGGAGGAATGAGGAATTAGTTTGTGATCTGCATTTTAAAAACGAAAGTGATTTCTGACCATACCAGCTTATTCTGCTCGGCTAAGCTGTCATCGGCAGGTGCGGTTTGCCTTGCATAGGGCTGGTGGTCCTCTGGGAATATTTTGCAGCTCTGATAATTTCTCCAGCTCCTGAGAAATGCACAGAGAGAGAACTTGGGAATTAAAAGTTTCCAGTTAAGGAACTTGAGGGCTGAGATAGCTGTGGTGAAGTGCATTACAAATGCACCAAGGTGTCAGGCAGCACTCCCAGAGAGATTTGGAGAGAAATGTGGGATGTAATCCACTGCCAAAGGTGAGTGAGCAAAGCACCCAGATGAGAATAAGCTCCTTCATGGGACATTTCTGAAGTGCAGCAACACCAAGACTGGTGCCAGCACAGGCTGGCACATCACTGGCTGAGGGTCCAGAAGAGTTGCCTTCCTCACCAGGCCCACAAGTTCATCACAGTACTCTGCCTTGTGCTGCTCAGACTTGCCCCCACTTCCTTCAGAAAGCCACTTACAAGGGTCCTTGGGGACTTTTTGTTGTTTTTCTATCCCAAATGTGAAGGTGCCAAATATGTTCCTTCTGTCTAATTTACAAATAAATGTTTTGTATTATCTTTGCTGTTTCTTTTTCTGGGTTATCCTTGTGTCCCCCTGCCTTTCTGTCCTGGATAACTGAGAGTTGTCGGTGTCCCTGCAGCATTCCTGGTTGAGGGCCAAAATGGGAGTGAGAATAAATGCTTCTAAATATTGTATTGAAGCAAATAAGTCATTCATACATAATAGCTCTTTGCCTGGTGTTACAATGGCAATTTCATGCAGGTTTTGCAGGAGTGAACAGTTGTGAGAGGCTGGAAGAGCTGTACACCTTGGAGAGTATTTGTCATGTGGGTATGATATGGAGATGGGCTTCACAGATTGGGAAGAGTGCTCCTACTTCTGTAAAGGAACTTTATCCAGCAGTCTGTGACAATGCTGCATTTCATAGATTTGCTGACGCCAAATTCTGAAAATATCCCTGTCTACCAGGAGTTTAGCTAGAGGTAGCAAAGGTAAAGACTTCCCTGTGGGGAGAAGACAGGTGTGCTTTACCTTGTGCTTTTGAGTAAGACATCCTTTAGAGCAGCAAGCCGACCAAAACACAGTATACATCCACACTGTCTTCTCAGCTCAGTAGAAATCCGTCAGCATTACCACAGCTCCATCTATTCTTTTTCCTGAAGAGATGCAGAAAAACAAAAAGCACTTGGAGTGCTCTTTTGCCTGAAGCATTCGACACAGAGATATGTCCCTATCTATTTGGCATCAGTAGGGCAATAGCATCTTGCAGGAGACAAGCAGAACAACTTGCAGTGAATAACCTGAATCTAGTACTGATTTTCTCTTTTCTCTCTCCTTGTAGGGATCCTGTTTACGATGCTGGTATTTGGACCAGCTTGTGGATTTATCTTGGGCTCCTTCTGTACCAAAATCTATGTGGATGCTGTCTTCATTGACACAAGTAAGGAGAACTGGGTTCAGTTTCAAATCAAATATGCTAATGTTGTATCGGCAGGACAAAAATGATGCTCACAAGCAGGAAACTGCTTCTCGTTCCATCTTGAGTGCCTTTTGCATGTATGGGTGTCACTTTTAAAAGGGTTTTATGGTTGGCATTCAAAAGTTTTCAACTCTATCCCCATAGATAACAGATTCATACTAACTAAAATATGTTCCCCTCCATGGGCTTGAGCTTCAGTCTAGCTATTAGAGGACACCTTAAAATATTGCTGTGGCAGGGCACACCAGCTAGCCACGGACATAGTCTTGCCAGGGAAGCTGTGTCCAGAGCACGGGATGAAATCTGGAGAGCTGCCGTGCCCAGGACCTGGGAGGGCAGTCCAGGCGCTCTGCTAGAGGCACACCAGTAAGACCTATGCCCAGCACCTTCTGCAAATGACCCCGTTTGGATGGACAGATTCAGCCCCACAGCATTACTGCTTTTTCCCAGAGCAGTGCTAATTATTGCTCGCCTTGAATCTGCACTTGGGTTAAAACAAATTGTTTGCAAATTGTCTTTTTGTACATTAAGAAAAAAAATGTGCAGATTTTTATTGCTACCTGCACTATGCGCTCTTTGTCGTTAGAGGGCAATGTGTGACAGGCAGTTCTCTGCTGCTCTCCAAGCCCTTTCTTTGGCTGTAGACTGCAAACCTGGTGCTTCATTCTTTTCCCTCAGTTGTTCAGATGCTTTTTCTACAGTTCTCAGCTCCATCTGATACCACAGACTCTTATCCTGCCGCAGGGGTATTGTCCCCTTTCAGGGTGTATTCTAGTTCTGTGATGTTGCAAATGCATCTTCACAGGATGCATTTCAATGGAGCTGAACCTTGCAGGACTCAGAGCAGAATTGTGCAAATCTGGAAAAGTGCTACTGCCTTTTCTTTGTCTTGCATACATATGGCAGATGAAAAAATCTAAATAATATCAAACGAACAGAAAATAAGGGGTTTTTTTGATGGCTGAGACTTTTAGCTGCATCTTGGTCAAGCACCACATGGCCCCTTGTCATTCCTTGGCTTTAGCAAAGATAATGTCAAAGAGTCATTTGGTCCTGTAGGCAGTGGAGCTTGTTTGAACCCTGTTACATATTTGAACATTAATTTACTCCAAAATACAAACGTGCAGGAGAAGATACTTCTTCTCTGAGTAGGTGAGGCTGTAGAACTCCTCACTGTAGGGTATTAAAAGTCTACAAATGGATTAAAAAACAATTGGATGTGTTTATAGAAGAAAAAAATGAAAATGACACCAAATGTAGCTTAGAAAGCCCCTGAGCCACAAATCACAAGAATAATATCAGGTATACGTTGTCTTTATTCTGTGGACTTTCTGGGCATCTGTAGCTGGTTACCATCAGAGGCAAGATGCTCGGAGGCAAGATGCGGGCCTAGCTGAAATGATGTGATCTGCCTGTTTTTAACATAAGGTGTTGCCCCATATTTACAGCTCAAAAAGCCCCAGACACATACAGAGCCACAGAGGAGAACAGTGGAGTGTTATCACTGAGAAGCCTGGCGGGGCTGTGGCTCAGCAGGCCAGACGGAGGGTAGAGCACTTTCCAGCTGCAGGTCCAGCTGGCTTTGGCCATGGTCCGTTGCTGTAGTGTGAAGGCTGAGGCATGCATGGCCTCCATCTGGTTTTGTATGGGAGTTTCCACGTGGCAGCTCAGGGCAGCATGAGGAGACCAAGCTCCAGAGGGTTGAGCCCTCTCTGCTCCCCGTTTTGGGCAGGAGGTGTGGGATGCCAGGGCATGCTGCTGTGCTGCTCTCCATACAGGACCTATTTTAGGAAGGGGATATAAGGACGACCTTGGTTTATGTGGCTCTTCATGTGCCTGTGTTCCCAAGAACCTGAAAGTAAAGCACTTCAGGCAGGAGGAAATAACAGCAGAAGAATCCAATCCCTCCAAAACACAATTTTTCAAGCTTCATATATATTTGAGAGCTATGTGTTATTTTCCCTAAGGAGAAAAGAGTTTCCTTCCGTCTCTGCTCAAGAGACAACTTGATTGCCTCACTTGAGACAGATTTTTCAGAGTGGCGGTAACCAGACAGACATCATGAATGGAGGAGCTTGTTATTCCAGCCACGCAGACCCGGGTCTGCCCTGGGAGGCAGCTCCGGCACTGGGCACCCTCTGCCGGCTTCCAGCTGCTTCTTTCCTGCTGCTTATTTTTATTCCCTCAAACTGACTCCAGAGCCTTCTTTTTCCTTATCTCTGCTGAATGATAGCCTACAAGATACTCTTGCCTTTTACTTTGCTTTTTTTAATTTTCTGATTATTTCTCTACCTTTCTGAGCCCATTTGATGCAGTGGATGGGTTTCTTTTTCCAATATTTAGGACTGTTTCAACCTCCACACAGTCACAAGTGCTCATAAAGCTCAAATGTCCATCTCTCCTTTGCTGAAAAGGGCTGTGAAGTCAAAGCAGGGAGAGCATTGACCTGCTGGAAAACAAGGGTAAGCTGGGATGGCGGTGCAATGTCCTTGTCTGTGCTGCTTCTTCTCCGTGCAGGTCTTTGTGCCACTAGGTATGTCAGCTGTGTGTGCACACTTGACATGCTGGGACAGTGATGTCCAAAACTTTGGTGCCAGCACAGGTGATGCTGACTGGTATACAGCAGCTTCCTAAAGCTGGCAGAGCCAAAGACACCGGAGAGCATCCCTGGTTACAGGATGTTGCAGAAGCTGGATAGACAAGGCGATGGGTGCTTGTCCAAAGGACCTCTTGGGTATGAAGTTCATTAAGCACTGGTGTGGCTCAAACAGTATGGGTGTGGGGTGCACTGTGGCTCCCCACCTAGTGTCTGGGAGCCCCTCACCAACTAACAAAGCCCCCAGCAACCATCTTCCAGCCTACAGAATCATTAACACTGGCATCGTCCCCTCCCCATGGCCAAGCCACTGACACATGTGTGTGTGCCCTTGCAGGTAAGCTGGACATAACCCCAGACGACCCTCGGTGGATCGGTGCGTGGTGGGGAGGCTTCCTGCTGTGTGGTGCCTTACTCTTCTTCTCGTCCCTGCCGATGTTTGGGTTCCCGCAGTCCTTGCCGCCACGGCCGGAGCACACTGGAGAGAGCGAGCAGGCCATGCTTCCCGAGAGGGACTACGAGAGACCCAAGCCAAGCAACGGGGTCTTGCGGCATGCGCTGGACGGGGAGAGCAGCACAACCTGCTTCCAGCAACTGCGAGGTGAGACACTGGCTCTTGTCATGTTTTCTGTGAGTGAGCAACATGTTAAGAGCTGGTTAGATTTATTATTGATCTGTAATTTGGGCTATCTACCTCTACCCCAAAAAAAATCCCCCAAAAACCTCAGTATCCTGAAATTTCAGTCTCTAGCTTCTAATTATCTCGGATATTGTTCTTGGTTTAGAGGCTGTTCTACTTGAAAAGTTTGGGGTTTTTTAAAACTACAAAGCTTCAGAAATGCACGATAGTCCTGTAATGTTGACAAAAAAAATGAAGGGGAACACAGCTGCCAGAGCAATTTGTGAACTCTCCAGTCTACTGTCCTGCTCCCCTCTGCCTCCCAGCAAGGACAGTTAAAAGAAATTAGGAGCTCCCAGCATCTGAGCTGCAGCTTAGTGAAATCCCAGCTACAAATCAATGAGTGCTGGGCACCACTGCTGCTCTTAAACTGGGATAAGGAAGAGGTAGATACCATCCCAGAATAGCAGTAAAGTGGCAAGGCAGAGTATGGCTTGTAGCAAATTAGAGTAGAAAATTCCTCATCGTGTCCCACAGTGATGGAAATGGAGCTGGCTCTAATTAAGGTCAACTAAGGATCCAGCATTTTGTGGGAGAGTGTGGGCAGATATCCTTTCTGTAGGCTGCACTGGAAAATCCTTCATCTGAGAGGGCGGTTCTGTAGCACTCACTGGTGGTTGCTTCCCACTCTCTGTCACTGTGGCAGAGTGGGTTTCATTACTGCCTAATGCATTTAGATAAATGAGGAGAAAATCGCTTATTCCCTGTGCAGTTGCCTTAATTTATAGTTGAATGAGGTGCAGGTGGGAAGGAAAAAGAGACTTTGGGGAAAAAAGTGTTTTCTTAAATATAAAAATGCCTTGAATAGTTGATGTGGTTGTTCATTAAGGGAAGGTCAAAGATGTGCAGTTTTGACTTGATGAGAAAATTCAAAAGAAAGGTAAAGGGATAAATTGTTTGAAAAATTGTCAGTAAAACTAATTTTTTCATCCTTTCATCCTTGTTGCAAAGATTTTCTCAAGTTTGAGGAATGAGCTTTTCCCATGGTACATCCATTTGGATAATTCTGTGGCTTTTGTAATGGACTTATCAGAGCATTTGCCTCTGGCCACTGAGTTTTTGGAATGGGCACTGGAAATTTTTGCAGGTTTTCTTATAGAAAAATAAAAGAATATGGCATGTCCCTGCTGCTTGGAGGGGCAACAGTTCTGCCCAAGGACGGCGCTGAGCAAGCTGAGTTTCTTGCACACAGGGAGGCCATGGGAGTGTTACTAGAGCATCTGTTGCTCATTGAAGTAGGGAAATTAAACTGCCACATCCATATGCTTCCAAGTATTGATTACATCAAGAGTCACCACAGTCTTCCACACTAGCCTTCTCATTGCAGGTAACCCTATTTTGAATCAGGCAGTATTCCAGATGATTCTTTGTAGATGGACTTTGAAATACAATTTGCATCACATCAAATAAGATGGGGAATGACCTTTTTAGTTATGCCTTTGAGGCTGTCACAGACGACACGGTGTTGGTAGCTGACATCTCCTTTCAAGTCCCTTGCTGCTGTTGTCACAGTCAGAATGTGGTCAAGAGTCATGTTTGCTAAAGTGCCTGCCTGGAGATGTTCAGGCACGTACTGCAAGGGAAGGCAAACATGCCTCCCTCATTCTTGATGAGCGGTGTTTAAGGTGATGGCTTGAACCTTGCTGTGTACATACATTATTTTGCCAACAGCTGAAATATATACATGCATTCCTATGTGGTGGCACCTGGTATCCTTAATGTGTTTGCTGATTTTATAAAGTTTCCTTTGGGGAAAGTTAGACCATTTAGGCTTTCTCTAAGGCTAAAAAGGACTAGTAATTATATACAGAAGTTAAAAACAAAAATGTGCATGCATAGTCATGTCTTCTGTCATGGGTTTTGGGGTTTGCATGTATTTGCAAAGCTGAACAGCAGAGGATGTACCTATATGTGGGATTGTGGGTGGAAATGCTCATTGGGCTTTGTGTGGCCATAACTGTGACTTCTTTTTAGCAAGTGTTGTGTCTGCAGCTTGGTCCTGGGTAGGTGTATTCCAGGCATAAGTCCATGTCTGCATGGATCATCCATCTCTTGTGCACAGTATGGAGAGGAAGAGTTGTTTCTGTGTACCCATCATGCGAACATACAGTGTATCTGTGGTGCATCCTCAGAGGCTGACCAGTGTCTCCTTTTTGGCTATTGAAGGGGTTTTGTTGTTTTTTGCTGTTTGTTGGGGTTTTTTAGCATTGCAGAGACTGCTGCAAGTTGAGTGGATGTGGCAGGAGAGGAAGTGGGGTGGTGTCTGTTGGAGACATGCTCCCAACTGGGTCATGGCTGTCAGCTAGCGACATGGCATGGCTGGCATGTGGGAAGATGCTCAAGACGCTACAAGATTTGCTGAAAGACAGTGAGATGCAGGGCTAGGTGAGATTCCTTGCCTTGTCTCTAGCCTTAGCATGCAGAAAAGATAGGACTAATATAAAAGCAACCTGCTCAAAGTATCAGAAAGTCTCTTACATCTCTATTAAGGTCTAAAAAGGAAGGAGGGCTCAACTTTTGGGAAGCCATGGCATCTCTTCATGTGGGGTATTTTCATGCCAAGAAAAGAAGCATCCTTAAGAAGAGCTTTGAACTTGAAATGAAGACTGTGCCTTTGAATGGCACAAGGTGAAGAGGCAATCAAAGGCAGCAGAGGCAGCGGGTGGCTGCCATGCTCTGCACAGCAGCACTGGCAGGGGTATGATGGCTCAAGGACGGTTCTGGGAGGTGCTTACCATTGCTGAACTGGTGTGTGAATGATGCTCTGCTTTACCTGATTGGTATTTCAGTTAGGCAACACAAATCCATTTGGGAGCACAGGGAAATGAAGGATTAAGAGCAGGGAGAGGATGGATAAATGCTGCCATTGCTCTTTGCTCTCAGCTGGCAGCCTGGCAGAGTTGTTCCATCCCTGCGCTCTGCTTATGGTCTGTAAAAGCACCTCAGGCGTGAGCTGCAGCAGTCCTTGCTGTCCTGGGGGCACAGCTTTGCTTTCCTACCTCTGGTCTGCTTTGGGAACCTCTCTGCTATTCAGGGCCAGAGACAATGCTCAGCTATGTCAGGGCACCTGTGCCCTCTGCTCGTGTCTGTCCGGCATTTGCCCTCCCACTTGGTGTTAACATGCTGCCTCTAACCCACCACCTGCTCCTGGATGTGCTTGGAAATATTTTGTTAAAATCATTTCTTTTCATATGGAAATGTCACTCCTACTGAATTGAGTGGTCAGTTTTGATGAAATTTGGTTTCAGAATGCTTCCTTGGTTTTATCTTTAACACCCCTGAAACATTCTGCTCTAAATGCATTTTGTTTTGCAATGATTTAAACCAGAAATTCATTACATTCTGCCTGTCTGTCTAGCGAGAAAGATTAAAAACCTAAAAGGATTGAAATTGATATGGAATCCTTCAGGTTTGGAGAGAGAAGCTCATTCACAAGGAATTAAAAGAAGACTCACTGTGGAATTAAATGAATTTCAAAACTGCACATTCCCTAGATTTGGAAACATTTTGGTTTCTGTCCAGCTTCATTTCCAAGAGCGTAGGAGAGCTGGGATGTACAGCTGACAGCTGTCTTGTCTTCTGTTCGGTTCCTTCCTGCTCTGTGTATCAATCTGCTGAATACCTAGAGAGGGAGCTGCTCTGAATCCTGGATTTCTCTCCCCAAAAGTGCTCTCTGGGAGCAGACACGCAGCACTGGGTCAGAAGCTCTCAGCTATGCAGAGGGGTCCTGGGCCATGGAGAGCCTGTAGTCCTTGGTAGAAGTTCATAGAATTGAGCTGGATTAATGGCTAGTTTTAAATTCATGGCTCTGCAATTCATAGTGACAAGCTTTTGGAGAGGGCTCCATCTGTACTTCCACTCATGGCCATAGCGGTGAGTCTTTGGCCCTGATCCAGATGGGTGCCACAACCTTAATACCTTTTTGGATTTGGGTCTTGGCTCCCTACCAACATCTAAAAGGCTTGCTGAGAAATCCTAATCGTAGATAAGGGGGAGGTGGCTGATGATAAAATGCCCCACATCAGGTCCCGTCAGTCTCCCACGTTTCCTTTGGCTTGGATTTCACGAGGATGTGGACTTTGTTGGCCAATTCTTGACTGTTTCAAAGCCAGCATCCTTGTTATCAGAAGCTTTGATTAATTCAGAAAGGCTTTCAGCCTGCATGCTTCAGGATAGAAGCTGAGGTCAGGCAGAGTATGTCTGTCTCTGAAAAGATTCTGTGCCTTGCCGTGATCTCCCTGATGCGGGTGAGGGAGGCTTACGTACCCCTCTGAAATCGAGCAAAGGAGGCCGCTGGGGGCAAGATGATAAACTAGAAGGACCTGCTTTCCTTCCATAAGAACATTACTATTGCTTCAAGCTAGTATCTGTCAAGAAGCCTCTTTGACATGAGTATCATCATTTTCCTTCATATCCTTTGTGATACTGATTTTGCCAAGACCACATAGACCTCAGCATATTAAACTCATAAGACATATCTTCAGCGTCTCTAGTCTTACTCCAGCTTCTCTTTTGAAGGAGCTGCCTCTTTCCAGAAGGTATTTTCTTCTTGCTGCCTGCACTGTTTTCTTCATCCCTTATTCCTCAAGCCAGGTGGAGATTGTGCCTTTTGTTTTCTGTTCAGATCTGAGGCTTGCTGCCTACATTGCTATTAGAAAGTAATGTTTGGCTCAACGCTACATTTTGCCTTTCCCTCACTGCACTGTCCTAGGTGGACTGGGCTTTAAACCTCCCTCTAATTTATTACTTTGATTTCTGTGTTCCTCATCTTTACTGCAAATTGAAAACATGTCTCTGTAGGGTGCTCCAACTGGAAAAAGGGGCCTTGGTGATTGTAATGTTCCAAACAATTCATTTCAAGCACCAACGTGATGATTATAGTTTGTCGTTTCTGGAGAGTAGTTAAACCTCATGTAATGAGGTTGCCAATTATCCCCGGTACTCCCTGATGTTTAGTGACAAATCAAAGCTACTTGGTGTGCATGTGTTTGCTTGACAAGTCCCTGGCCTGTCACCCACAGCTGGCCCCACAGCAGGAGATAGGGAGAATGCTTGATGCCTTGGCATGGGTGTTGCTAGGGGTGTTAAAAGGTGGGAAGTCAAGGGATTGGCAAAGCTGTTGGAGAGCTTTTGGACATCCTCCTGGGTCACTTCCAACCTATGGAACCTATGGATGGTCCTATGACCAATGCTGCACGTGGATGGTCTGAAGTGTTGGGCTTTTAAGTACTACAACAGTGAAAAGCAGTTGAGGTTTCTTGTTCTTCTCAGTGAACCTTGCCATGGCAATGAGAATTGCTTTTCTGACGTCATTTCTGTAGTGTATTGGGTGCACTGGGATAAGGACATTAAATGAGCTGGTCCTTCTGACTGTGGGAGATTGAGTCTTTCTGTGCTGTGTCTAATACAGCTTGTGGGTTCTACAGGTAGATTTTTGAACCTCCTTTGAATCCAAAAGACCTTTCCCTTTTCTCATTTGGTGAATGGGCTTCAACCTCAGATTTATAGCTCCAAAGTGCTGCTACAAAGTGTGCAGCTAACCTTTGGGCCAACAGGGTGCAGGGTAACGTTTATCATTACTTTTGCTGGGATTGGCTCCAGTGAAGAAGCACCGTGCTTAGCTGTTGTGTTCCCCAGGGCTTTACTGGCCCACATCAGACATTTTCCATTCCCCCTTCTTACCCAGCACCATATGCCAGGCAGCTGAAAGCACGTCACTCTAATCTATTGAGAGATTTTTAAACTTCATTGCTGACTTCTGATCTTGTTCCCAGAGGTATTTCACCCCAAGAACTGAGACAGATAAGGCAGCAGCAGGTGTCAAATGATTCATCTTAACGGGTGGCAGTAGCAAGATGAAAGGATATTCATTTCTATGGGGAGCCTCCTGTCATTTCCCTTAGAAAATGAAAGGGAACGAGCTGGCCCTGGCTGAGGAGATGGTGGAGGCTGCCAGGCATTACCTCCCTTGCCTCTGCATTCTTTGCACTGGGTACCCTCCAGCTGGTACAGAGCCCTGCTGCAGTAGATGGTGGTCAAACATGCAGTGAAGGACAGGACCTGTCCCAGAAAGCTCACAGGGAGAAGAAGCAATGATGAAGTGATGGGACTTGTAGCCCAGCACAGCCAGGCAAGGCAGTCACAAGAGCCTTTTCTCTAGTGTGAGATGGTATAACTCTGCAACATTTTTACTGTCCATTCCCAAGTACAAAGGATGGATTTTGACCTTGGTAATGCATGATGGTTGGGTACCAGCTTTTCCAACTTCAGAAAGAAATGTCCATGATCTTAACTCCCTCCTGCAAAAGACAGGCTGTCATTGTTAGTATTTTGTGGATAAAGTTAGAGGTAGACCTTTGTGTCTTTGCATTTGAATTGGCACAAAGCTACATCTCGAGGAATCCATTAATCTTGAACAAACTGAACTCCAGAGACACAACAGGCATTAATACCTTAAATATGGCTTTTCAAGCTCAGCGCTGCCAAGTCCACCTTTGCATTTTCCCTCCTTTCCTTGGCAAGAAGACGAAATTCTGTAGGTGGCCACCAAAGAACTGAAAGAGGCAGCAGGTGGCTTCTGAGATCTATCCACATCTGAATCCCCCACCCCCGTTCCTCCCTCCCAGTATTTTTTTTTTCCCAACGTTCTACTAAAATATACTATGCCTCCTGCACCTTCATTATGTTCAGCAAATCCTCAGGAAGCAAGAATTTTATACAGCGTGAAAAAACATGTGTGATCTAAAGAGACCAGAAACTGTGGAGTGGCCCCTTCCAAAAAGGTTAGTTCAAACCTAATTATAACCCTTTCTCCCCTCCGCTCCAAGAAAGAACCAAGGGGACCCAAGCAGAACCTTGTCAGAGAGCTGTGCGTTCACTTGCTGAGGCTAGTGCAATTAGATTTTGCACCAAAAAAAAGCCCTAAGGGTAAACAGAAGCCAACACCAGAGAAATCTGTCATCTGCCAGACCTTCGTACACCATAGGGGATGTGGGGGATGATTTTCAAAATGCAAATAGGGGTCCACTGAGGCTTCACTACACTTCAGCAAGGTAATTTTCAAACTTAATGATTTTCACATTTAATTCAGGGAGAAATTAGTCATCAGATACTGAGACAAAGCAAGGCTCTCTTCTATACTGGGATGCTCTCTTCTTCAAGCTGTGTTATCTTGGCCATAATTAAAATGTTCGCTGGAGTAGAAAATGTGCTACCTTGATTCATTAGCCAGATTTCCCTTTGTAAGGTAACTCGTGTTTGCTTATCGGAAATAGAGATGGGCTTGGAGAAGAGGACTCTGGACGCTAATGATTCAGGAGGGCGGAGCCAGGGCATCATGAAACTAAAGCAAGTGTGTGTGCATCTTACACAATCCTCTTCCACCTTTGCAGCCACCAAGGCTGGTAGGGTCTGCATGGAAGGTGTTGCTTGGCTGGTGAAGCTCTGGGTTATGGGAACATGCAGGCTAACAGGCCTGTCCCAGGCATGAGGTCCCTTATGCCTGTGAGTGGCCACAGCCCCAGGCTGAGCAGGAGAATTTCAGCTTGCACATGCGTGTGCTGCAAGGTGTCCCTCAGCAAGTGAGCCGGTGTTACGTGGGAATAAGGAAATGAAGCAAATCCGGATGGCAGGAAAAGGAAAGGCCAAAATTGAGCTGGGTTAGCTTGTGTCTGAAACCTTGCAAGAATCTGTGTGGTGCTGAATACAGTACTCATGATACCCATCAGCTGGCTCAGTGTTGTTCATGGGGAGCACGTAAGGAAAGGTGAAGGAGAAAGGGAATACTAGGCTTTGGTTGACTTTGCCGTAGGGGAAACAGAAGTGATAGTGGAAAACATCCTGCAAAATTTCAAAATCATCTTTAAGATGTAAACATAACAGCAGGTGACCTCTTTTTGCACCCGCCTGGTATCTGAATCTTTAGATGGCACTGTTCTGGTGTTTCACTTTTTTCTGGTGTTGCCACATTTCAACTGGCTTGTCTGTGCAGAACAGAAGATTACTTCTGATCTGAAGTGAGTTTGTCCTGCAGGAGAGCAGCAAGGTGCCTCCAGCACCTCAAGTAGAGCCTATGCAAAAACACTTCTTCCTTTTTTCTCTCTTCTAGTGATCCCCAAAGTAACTAAGCACTTGCTCTCCAATCCTGTCTTCACCTGTATCATCCTGGCAGCCTGCATGGAGATCGCAGTGGTGGCTGGCTTCGCCGCCTTCCTGGGAAAATACCTGGAGCAGCAGTTCAACCTCACCACCTCATCTGCCAACCAGCTCCTGGGTGAGTAACCACAGCGGCCACCCAATATCCAGCATCTAAAGGCATTTAAAAGTGTTCAGCATGGACGGTAACTTCAACTAGTCTTACTGGTTAAACTGCCCAAAAAGCAATTTGCCTGACATCTAGAAATGTGTCTGTGAGTGTGAGGGCTGGGCTCCAGCTGTGCCTTGGCTGCAGAGCCCAGAGCAGACCTCTGTGATCCTCCCTTCTCCACTGTGCTCTCCCCTGCACCCCGCTGCAATCACTTCCCCTGTAGCCAAGCCTGTTGTGTGAGAATTAGTATGACACCGCCAGGGTATGAAAGTCGGTGATGGCCCTGAAGTAGGGCAGAAATCCCAACCAAACTGGGCCATTTGGTTGCCCTAGACTGTAGCTGCTCGCTGAGCAACAGGGCGGCCCATCGAACTGCTTGTCTCATGGTTCAGGTACCCCAGAGCTCTCCAGCCATCTCCATTTGGGTTAGGAAGCCCAGTTTCTCCTGCTAGTCCTTCCTTTCCCCATACTGCCATCAGCAGTTCAAATACCCAAGCTAGCGCAGCCTGCTTGTCTTTCAAAGGCCTCTTCTCTCTGACGGTGCTACGCTGCTGAGGCACATATATGTGTGTTTCTCAGTGTTCACTCATTCCCTGTCAGGACACTGATGCACAGGCAGGATCTTCATTTATTTTCTCCTCCTGCTCATTCCCAAACAGGCCCAGTAATTTGTTTATGACAGCTGTTCTCTTGGCAGCACCCAGTTAAGATATCTATGAGTTGATCTTGGTTGATCTGCAACCACAGCTCACCAGATAGGCAGCTGGCAATGATCTGTCAAAAGCCAGGACATCTGAAATGGGTGGATCTTAGTATCAAAATAAGGAGCTTTCAAGCTTCTCGCCTGACATTTATTTTGCTATTGAACTCATTGATATATTCTGGGTTTGGCCTGGTTTTCCAAATGAAACAATCCCCTGCAGTCAATCTGGACTCCCCCAGCAACACAGGAACTCACTGATGAATTTTAATATGATTTGACAGAAGGGCAGCGATGTCAAAGACGTTGGGTTCTTCCATCTTTCCTGAAAATTAAAGGCTTGGCAAAGGAAAGCAACTTCACTGTTGATCCGCTGGGAGAAGGAGAACTGCTACACTGTTTGGAGGGAGATGCCTGGCCAGTCAGCTTGTGATTGCAGCTAGCTGGTCAGCAAAGAGGGAATCACCCGTGAGCCAGAGCACGTCCTGCTTCTGACCCAGCAGGAGGAAAGCAGACTAATACATCCATGGTCCTCACAACAACTTGTTTAATTTAAACAAAGCTGCTACCAGATTTACCACATGGCTTTTATGGGAGTCCAGGAATGCCAGGATTTGGATGTGCTTCTAAGCTTAGCCCAGCTTAGGTAAGGTCTGGAAGATAACTGGCAGCAAAGGGATAAAAGTGAACCCAGACAAGCTTGGTGTGATAATGCCTTTCTGTGCCTGGACAGTGAGTCACTCTTGGCAGTGATTTTGCATCTCGCAGTTTAAGAAGGCTCTTTAAGGGAGACTTCATATTTTCAAATGGAACTATTGTCTAATCTCTGAAGATCAGACTGCTGTGAAGTATACCAAGCAGGACTCATTCAAAGCCTCTTAGACACCCAGAAAACTCTTGACTTTATTTGTCTGCCAGCTGTTCCAGGAAGCATCAGAGATGCTGCTGCTTTGGTTAGGGTGGGCCAATCTCAGCAATTTTGACATCTCCCTCCGATATGGATGAGAACTGGAGGAAGATCTCAGTTCCTCTTTGCAAGATAACATAACCGTTTGCATCTGTTCTCTTTTTGGGCACCCCAGCTTGGGGGTACTCCAGCAGTTGGTCATTGCAAGGTTTCCCCATGCTAGCACACAGATCTCCCTGATGAAAAGTAAAAAGCTGAAGTAATATGGTTCACTGAGCCTCGCTCGTGCTTCTTGCTAACTGATTTTTCCTCCTGCAGGGATGACAGCAATCCCATGCGCGTGTCTGGGCATATTCCTGGGTGGCCTCTTGGTGAAGAAGCTCAGCCTGTCTGCTCTGGGAGCCATCAGGATGGCCATGCTGGTGAACCTGGTGTCCACAGCTTGCTATGTGTCTTTCCTGTTCCTGGGATGCGACACAGGACCTGTGGCAGGGGTTACTGTTCCCTATGGAAACAAGTGAGTCCCCAGAGAGTTTTATGGTCTCTCGCAGCCTTATGAACATAAATGCCACGTTCTTGTCCTTGATAGGCAGCCTTCAGGCAGCGCTGGCCCTTAGACAGCCATATGGAGCAAGCATATAGAAGGCAATGTCATACAGGGCCTTTAGTTTGGGATGATTTCATGCCACTCATCCCTGTGAATGTTGAGTACCTGCAGCTGACAATGGAATTTTAATAAAATCAGTCAAACTGAATTGAAAGATGCCAGCCCTGATTCTGCACCCATGGCCACCTACACAGCACTGGGTCCACTGCGCCGTCTCGCTTCCTCTGGCAGCAAGGGATATGCGCTGCTTTGTACATAATTTCAGTGCCTGAGGGGAATTTGTAGAACCAGGTTTTAGATGCCTGGAAATTCAGATAGAGCAAGGAGAGAGTATGCGTGGCTCCAGGCCCATTTTAATGGGAGACATGAGGTACATGGTGCCCTGTAGCATTCACAGGACTTGGAGAGAGTTATTCTGTATTTTCTTCTCTGGTGCTCCTCAGTATGCAGCGGTGACTCTTGAGTAAACAACAACTCCAGACTCTCAGCTCCTCACAGTTACTTTTCCAGTAAAATACAGAGCATTCACTACAACATCTCTTCAGGTTTCCTTGGGGCTTCTCATTGGGTAAACCAGGCAGTCCAAGTCTCACATTAGATCCCCTGTTGCAGAGGGATAGTGGCCATTGCATTTCTGTCCCCAGGGAGAGGCTGTAGCCAGTATTCCTTAAACCTGAGACCCAGATAGCCTGCCCACTGCTTTTTGTGATTTGTTTACCTTAACTACAGCTCTTCAAAGCCGTCTTTGTGTGGCAATGATTGGAAAAGCTGGCTAATATCATCACACTGCCCATTAATTTTTCTGTTTCTCTTACAGCTCAACTCCAACCTCATCTCTGGACCCATATTCCCCCTGCAATAACAACTGTGAATGCCAAACTGATTCCTTCACTCCAGTCTGTGGGGCAGATGGGGTCACATACTTATCTGCCTGCTTTGCTGGCTGCAGCAGCACGGTGAGTGGGCTTTCCTTGGGACCTCTTGCCTGTAGGAACAATTCTGTGAGCGCGAGTGAGTGAGGTTAGTGCATATCTGGTAGAGTAGCTTATTTACAGCCAGCAGTGGTTACACCCCCAAAGGCTAACCTCATACCTCAGATGGGCCTGAGCCACTGTCATTTTTCACTGTTACATAAATGCCCGCTGACTCTGGCAGCTAGGGTCACCCACAGCGTGGGATGGGATTTCCCATCCTCCTCCTCTGGTCTTTCTCCTCACTATGGAAGCAAGGAACACAGGAGGAGATCTGCATGGTTTCCCACTGGCACAACACAGATCCTCCATGAGAGCTCACTAGCCCGGGCTGTGGGACCAGCTTCTCTTTTCTCCTGCAGCTCCTCATCTCCCCACTTCTCCACCTGCCTGTGTTTGCCCTGAGCAATCCTTCTATTCTTTTTCCTCTTTCTCTTTTCTATGATCTGGTTCCTAGACAAATATGATGAGATCCTGGTTTTATTCACCCTTGTTTAAGCATTTCTTGCACTCCTCTTGCTTCTCTCTCTTTCCCTGCTTTGCTCTAAGGCAGCAGTAAGAGCAGTTGTCAAGGGAGCAGACACTCCATCTAAAGACATTCTGCATTTTTCAGTTCTCCATATCTAAGAGTTTATTTCCTTTAGAGAACCCTTAAAGACTAAATCATCTCTGTGTAAAGAAGATGTGGGGAATTTTTAACAATATCTTAAAAGCCTGCTTTTCCATTTTTTGCTGCTGAAATGCTAACATCTTCTGGGTTACGCTAAAAATTAGTAACTGTTGTTCCCATGGGTGGGAACTGGTGGGGTTCCTGCAGTCCTTGCTCCTTGCCTGGGGCTGTGCCAGGCATGCTGACTGCTGCCACACTGCCTGTGTGGAGCCTGTGGGAGGTCAGCCTTGTCACAGTGACCGTTCGTGGCTGCAGGGACATCAGTGCTCACCATATGCAGTTATCCCTCCACGGCTTCATCCTTCGTTCTTGAGGAGGCATCAAACCTCCCTTCCTGCCCTAAAGAGACAAACTGCTTGTGAGCAATGGTGAGCAGAGGTGCAAGCTTTCTGTGCAGCCTCACAGCCCAGATGACCTGGGAGCTTGTCCTGCTTAAACCTCTTCCCTCCTCAATTCCCACTCCAGCCTCAGAGACGTAGGCAACCCTTTAAAATGCCACAGTTTCAGGGTGATTTCAACAACCCCGCAAGGGACTCCACGAGTGTGTGGCACATGTGAAGGTGTTACCTCCTGCCCTCTTCCTCCTCCCAGCAAGAAACAAGTCAACACCTGGGGCGGCCACACAATCATTTTAACAAGAAGCCAGCTTGTACGGGGCATGCAGAATAGTGTCTCACCAGTTCACCGAGTCTTTAGCAAGAGTACAGCTGGTGTGGTTGTGGCTGGAGTGCGGGAGCAACCTCCTCGCTGTGCGGTTTGGGGCAAAGTTCTGCCTCCTCTGGAAGGAGCACAGTGATGGAAATTCAGCTCTGACCCTTCAGTCTGCAGCTGCCTGACCTTGTGCTTTGCAAGAGCAAACCTCTGAGCAAAAGCCTCGCTCTCCCTCAACCTCTCTCTTACTCATTCTTTCTTATTTTGCCTTTTCGTCATCATCTTGGGGTTCTTTTCATGGCTTTGTTTTGTGGGGTTTTTTTCAGTAACATTTCAAACACAAATTAGTGAAGTAGTAGTATCCTCTGGAAAGGGTGTTTTCAAGAGTTATGGACCAGTTTGGCCATGCAATGGCCCTGAGGCAAAGCCAAATTGCCAAACCAGGTTTTAAACCCATAATCCAGGTAACGACCTGTCTAGAGGGTCTTGTGAATGTTATATGCTTGTGATGAGCCAAGGGTTGCTTTTTACTGGGACATAAAATTCTCTGAATGCTTTATTTAACTTTACTGCACTGGATGTTTCTGACTGCCTCTCTCCACTTTTCCTCTGTGAACAATTTCTAAAAGCAATGTGTAGCTCAGTTTTATATTTTTCATTTTTCTCTCTTACTGAGCTGGTTGCAGAGGTGTGCCTGTCCAAAAAGCTGTAGGAGTATCATTGCTGATGGGCAGAGCTCAGGCACCCTCAGGATTTTCTCTTTGAAGCCATTCCTGGGAATGACCCTTGTGTACAAAGCCTTTGACCATGTATCTTGTTCATTTGATGCCATTGCTTCTCTCACCCTTTTGTCTGGAGATTCACAAATTCCAGCCTGGCATAACCATGTTGGCATCTCCTGGTGTTGCACTGAAGTACCAGCCTGTCCCTTCTCTGTCAGAGCCAGGGTTTAAAAAGAATGAGTAATTAAAAACATGAGTAATTTGCCTAGATAATTACCACAAACTCAGGATGCTGTTAAAGGTGCAAACTCTGCATCTGTGCAGCTTCACGCACACACACAGTAAATCTGGGTGTGCAAGCTGCTGGGCAGTGGAAAGCTGTGATAATGTGTAGTTGAATGCAGTGGGGTTGCAGACAAGGGAAAGTATAACAATTTGGCACAGGTAGCAAAAAGTTGCCTCTCCACAGGACAAAAGTAAAACTCCATCTTTGATGTTTCCTTGTTTGATGTCTGTGAGTTGTATAGTGTGTCAGGAATAAAAGATCAAAAATCTCCCAGGTAGGGATGAGGTACAGCGCTAAGCAAGCAGATGTAGTTGGTACAAATTACTTACACTGCTTTGGGCTAGCACCTTTGTGCAGAATGGTCAAAAAAGTGGATTGAGGGGCAAATTTTCAGGCAATGAAGGTGGGGACCTGCCTTGTGGTTTGTAAAAAAGCACACTGATGGGAGTAGACTCTGCCCCACCATTGCCAGAAACAGATACTTTCTCTCCATTGATGAGAGCCCATGAGAAATAAGCAGCCAGTTCTGTGTGTTCGCCATGATGAGAGTTTTGTCCCAGGATATTTCAGTGCAGGTATGTACCTTCCAGGATTTAGATGGGTTTTAATCCAGAGGATTGTGTCCGGCTTGGTTGCTAGCAATGCGCTGCAGTAAGAGCCAGGAACTACAAACCCCTGTTGTCTCTGTGCAAGCACCACTGCAGTGGTGCTAATTGTCACCATCTCGAAGCCTTCAGGTGGCATCTTCTAACTCACAGCACAGGAAATTTGTTATGTTAATTATTGCTTGCCAGCCGGAAAGGCACCTGCATGTGTGTTCCAGCTCTCCTTGAGTTCTGCACTGCAGTCTCTCTTGCCCTCTGTGCACTTACTTGGAAGAAAATCACTTGAATCCTATGCAGAAGAAAGAGATTGGTGTCAGAAATGCTGGAGTAGTATCCCCACAGATCCTTATCTTTGGAGGCAGTGAACCAGAAATTGTGCTTTTGTATGGTCCTAAGGGGACCCCAGCAAAAAAGCAAAGGAATTTCTGCTTGAACGTGATAGGGAGGAAGGGGAGGAGATTTAGCTGTTTTTCAATATGTTTTATTTTATGGCATTACTCCTCTTACAAACATGTGACCTGCAAACCCAGCGGGCTGATGAAGAGAAGCCATGAATCATTTATGATTGTTTCATTCTGTATTCGTTAAGGGATTTCTTGGTAGTATTGTGTGCCTTAATTGCACTGGCATCCCCCTCTCAGAAATTCAGGAGGGTGAGTTGGAAAATAAGAAAAAAAATAAATAAATCCCTAGATCTGTGACTGGCAAACAAAGCATTTTTTATTCACATCCTGCACTTGCTGGAGAGATCAAAGAAAAATGCAGTCATTTCGCCCTCGTTCTGATCACGTATTGATAAAGTTTATCTCTCCTGACTTCAGCTTTTAGCTCAACACAAATCCCTCTGAACCAGATGTCATTTAGTAGCCCTGTAAGTACTTGAGTCCAGCAGTGTCTGTGCCGCCAAGCTGTGATAGTTCAGCTCTTGAGCTCTTGGCGAGCCACAGCACCCACCTTGGGTGGCTCCTTCCCAGGATTCAGGGTGCTGCAGATGTACCTGCTTTTAATGTACTTCAGTCTAATTGCAACAGCCAAGAGGACAAAGGTAAATATGGAAGTAATTAGGACCATAATTTGGGGATCTCCCTTGTTTCAGGGACACAGATCGTTTTTTTATTTTCCTCCAAAGAGTTATAACTTAGTAATAATTTTGTCCTAGTGACATTTATGGGAGAGACTTGAAAGGAGCAGAAGAAAAGAAACAAGCCAAGGGACAGCTTTCCCTTGCTGGTAGCATGCATCAGAGCTGATGTGCTTCTGAAATCCTTTCTGAAACCCCCCTCAAATAAGCACTTAGGAGTTACTTAATTGACCATTGGGGGATTCAGAGTTGCTGTTGGCAAGCCCTCGTTACAGAGGGTGGGTGGCAGGGACCACTGCTCTCACTTCCCCTGAACCCCTGTGCTCTCCGCAGAACCTCAGTGGCTGTTCGTGCCTCACCTCGGTCCCTGCCGAAAATGCCACCGTCGTTCCCGGCAAATGCCCCAGCCCCGGCTGTGAAGAGGCCTTCTTGACATTCCTCTGCGTGATGTGCGTTTGCAGCATGATTGGGGCCATGGCGCAGACGCCGTCAGTCATCATCCTCATCAGGTAGGAGCGCTGCGGGCAGGGCGCGATGGGCTCGCTGGGACTGCTCTTGGGGTGGGAGCAGGGCTGGGGGGCCATGGGCTACTGCTGGGAGCTGCAGGGAGCCGAGGGTCCTGCACAGCTCCTGGCCTTTGCCTTTTTGGCTGCATATCAGTGACTTTGGCTTAAATGGAGGTTCAGTTCAATAGAAAATCCTCCTTTGACTAAAAAGTCCCTGGTGGAGAAACCTTTAAAGAGCTGCCCATATTTTCAAAAGACTTTGAACCTCCTCAGCAAATGAGGAACTATGGGCACAGGCTTTCTCATATGTTACTGCCTTTACATGCAGGCAGGAGTTGGGAATATGAAATCCCAAGGAGTTTTGCCTGAATTTCAGCTCCACTGTTTCAGTGTTAATTAAATCATTTTCTCTCTAAGCCAGTATCCCACTTGGTAGCACCTAGTTCATCTGTGGTATGGCCCCACCGACTTCAGTGCCTGCAGTACTGACCTGCTAGAGAGAATTCAGGAATTGCTCGAGTACAGCTTTGGTAAAATGGGAGTGAGGAGGGACTGGGCTTGCAAACAGAGAAAATCCCTGCAGGGGTGCTGCAAAGGAAAGTGGCAGGCTTGTTGTTACGAAGGCTGGGATTAGCATGGGAAGGGAAATACATACATGCAGTTTCCAGTCCAGGTAGTAAGGACATTACAACTGCATCAGGAAAGGAGCAGAATTGCAACCCCGTGTTCTCAGTGCAGAATGGCTTAATAAGATACCTTTAGAGATGGCTTGGAGATTGTAGAAACGATGGAAAAATGAAAGGCTAGCTTTGGTCAGTACTCTCCTGGCTGGGGTTTAATTTCTTTCACTCTGGACCAAGTCCAAGAACAGAAGGAACTTGAAAGTCTGAAGGACATCTCTGAGTTGGACCAATATGAATAGGTGAGCAAAAGTATCTTATTCAAATAACTGACCTTGCGTTATTTCCAGATACGTGGAACACTTCACCTTATGATATATGTATATATCTAAGCTCACATTTATCCAGAATTACTTATCTGTCCAGGCTGTCACTTGTTGAGAATAATAACCAGAGGCATAAATAGCAGATCCATTCTGCTGCCTGGAAAATTCCAATAAAATTCAATCAATAAGGTCTGTATTAGAAACACACTCTTGAGTGGATCTTGGACAGAACAGCTCTGTGAGGGCATGTCTCCCTGCAGGACACAAAGTGAGATATTCCACCTACTAGTTTGTTTCTCTCTTTGCATCTACAGTAGCTAAAGGGAAATCAGATTTCTTGTAATAAATACTGTGGCAAAAGTAGTTTGAAGAGTTCTTTGTTCAAGGGATCTGCCAGCACCTATAGGATCCTGCATGGAGACATCTTTGTCTCAACTTCAAATGTGATAAGCCAGTCACCATCCTGGAAGAAGAGTACAAGGGAATGAGAAAATTAAAGGGAATATTAAAACTATTCAGCTCACAGCTGTAGGACATAAACAATTCACACATCCAAATTAGTAACAACGCTCCCCTCAGAATCACTGATAGCTACTGAAATGTATGGAGAAGAGCTCTTAGCATGTAACACCTCATGCTCTCTTGCAACTGCCATCTTGGATTGCTAAAAGAAGGTTTTGGTCTTTGAGTGTGTCCCCGGTGACCATGGCAGTGACAAATGGTATTGGCAACTCCTATGGATAGTTTAAAAATGAACTTCATTGTCTACAAATTAGTTATCTTGTCTAGGCAACTCATTTATTCAGTGCTGCAGTCAGTGAGAAAAGGAGATGTCTCAGGTGGCAACTTTTAGTCTGCCCTGAGGTATGGGGATTGACTGGTCTTAAATACAAAAAGGTGGACCAATGGACACCACCACTGATTAAAACATGGTAATCTATTTTTTCCATAAAATAAACTTTAATACTCAGTTTCCTTCATTTCCCACCCTACTGCAGAATCCTATCTGAGCCAAGGCATTAACCACAGGAACATTTTTCCAAAGTTAGACGCTTCATGGCATAAAGGCTTTATACTGAGCCTGGGGGTCTGCCTGAAAACTCTGCTGAAATTCCATCAGAGGTCACAGGCTTCATGCAGGAATCAGGGTACAGTGTTACATGGCCAGTGTAACGTGTGAGATGAGGGCAGGTGATCAGAATGGTCTTCTCAGCTTAAAACCTGTTGCTCTTTCTTGCTGTTTTATCAGTGTTGTCTGATGGCCCTCCAGGACCACCACTGCCACCATGGGTGCCACTAGCAGCGCTGCCTGCAGACCTCTGTAAGGAGCTAATGGAAGAGGCAGCTTTGGTCTTTGAAGTTCCCAAGTGTGATGAATCTAGTCATATGGGGATCACTGCCCTGCTTTCCCAGACTTTATACACTGTGGGAAATAAAATGCAGTTATAAGACTTAAGACCAAATGAATGTTTTCTGAAATTCCAAAGGCTTTGCTGAGCCTACCCCAAGAGGATGACTTTAGCCTTGAGCTAAGCAAATTAGAAAGCCATGTATTATTTTTTAAAGCACCTTTGAAGGATAACACTAATGTGATAGAGTGGGTTGTGTTCATAGCAAAAGGCAGAGCAACTGTTGTCTTACCGGCATAAAAAAAATTCATGTGCTTAACTAAACTAGACTTCTTGAGCACGGCCTCACTGGGGAGGCTTAACAGGCTGAATGAACCTTTTGGTCCGTCATCCTCCTTTCTCTCTCTTGTTCCAATACTCTGGGAACAAAAAGTTTTCTCTCCCACCAATTCACAACATCTGGAGCCTTGAAAGCATGATGGGAAGCTTATAAATGGTGATTTACTGGGATGGGAATTTCATTTTTCCCCATCCAACGACAAGATTAGTAGTTGTTATTAATGACTTAGCTAAATTCCTGAACTTATCACCAATGCAATTACTTTGGGGGCTGTAGGCAGTTCGGGCAAAGGGAGAAGAAAAACCCCATTAATGACTTTTTGAAGAGGTGGTGGTGGCATCCTGGCTGACAGTACAGAATGGCCACAGGGTGTGTTAATCAAAGCAGAACAAGAATCAATTTCACTCTCTCCCTCACTCCTCCCTGCAGAACCGTGAGCCCCGAACTCAAGTCCTACGCTTTGGGGGTGCTTTTCCTGCTGCTCCGTTTGCTAGGTAGGTAAAAAATTCCATATCCTTCTCTCCCATCCCTTCCTTCCTCATGGAAAAACGTATTTTTAACATGCAAATAATGATTTCTACTCCGTGCGATGCTGTGGCTGTCATTAGTGGGGTCTGACACAACAGGGTCTGAGCCCTCTCTGTGAAGGATATCACATCAAGGCTCCTGAAGGCACTTTTCCTGCCATTTGAATTGTGCTAATGGAAGAAAATGTGGTGTTGCATGAGAAATGACCATTTGTGCCATGGTTCCACGCAACCAGTTACTCTTCTATAGCTGTTATTAACATGTCAGCAGTTTGCAAAATTACTGCTGTATTGCATAGTGCTGAAGTAGAGAGATATGTATTTTCATCCTTCTTTGAGGGACAGGACCTGTGTTATATGATGTGTTTTTCCCTTCCTTCAGGTCTCTCAGAAAGGGAAACAGTGAAATGAGGGGGGCTGAGTGCTTGTATCCTCCTGTGGGTTAATATCCCATTAAAAGACATGTGGCTGTTCCTCTGGACCAGCATGTGCTTCTCCTGTATGAATTAAAAGGAAGACACTGGGCTGTTATTCACCTGCATCTTGTTTCTGGGTAGTAGGGCTTTTTCCCCCTTTGAAGAGATGGCTTTTATCTTCAAGCTCCTATATTTCAGCTCATTAATCTCAGTGATTCAGGGTAAAAGTCCTCTCTGATCCATCATTGTGTGGGTCCGTCTCATGCACAGGGTTTCCATGTCTTGTAAAGGTGGAATTTACTTTTGTTTTAGCAGGGCACCTTCCCTGCATGCCTCCCTCCCAGTCTAAAAGGAATGAGCTGGAGAGTAAAATGCCATCTCCTACACTGCAGCAAGGCATTAGGAGGTAGGGGACCAAAAATCCAAAAGTACCATGCATTGCTTTGAATAAGTGACCTCATTTATTTACTTATTTTTTGTAACACCTCATTCCCCATTAGCTGAAAGGGACATGGTGGTCCCAGACCAGTTTGCAATAAAGCCGATTAGATTTTCATTGCTTTCAGTGAAGTAACTGCAGTCATACAGAGAGCTCCATCAGGTGATCTTATCCAGAGCTCAGACAGCTCAGGGGGAAGCTTCTGGGTTGACTTGGGTCAGCTCTGGTTCAAGCCTTGCAAAGACAGCATTTTCTTTAGCTGTCAGGGCTGCTCTGAGGTTTTGACCTGTCTTCAGCTCCTGTTGGCTGAATGTGGAGTATCAGCAGTCAAGTCTGTCAGGAGGATAGCAGTGGCCTGTTGTTTCCAAAAGGAAAAGTACTGAAGGGGAGATGTTTTCTCTCTTTTCTTTTTTCCTTTCAAAAGAGAGAAACCTCCTGAGATAGTGGCATCTTGAATTCCTTCAAAACCAGGCTCAGACATGTGTGCTTAAGTTGAACAAATTTTTTTTTTTCTTCCAATAAAAAAGCCATAGTAAGTATTTAAACTCAAATCTTTGTATGTTGCTTTGTCACTAAGGAATTCCCATGAAATAAGACAATATATCCTGAAGCATATCAGCACTGCAGCTTGAAACCCATAGAAAATGAAGAGAAAGGTACTTTTCAATATGAGCAAGAGTATCCAAATTTTGCCCTTAACAACCTGAGGTTTGAGAATAGCTTTACTGATTTATTTTAAAAGCTTTTCAGTTCACCTTTAAGCTTTGACTTAAGGAGAGAGTGATAATAGCTGCTTCTTGAACCAAAGGAGAGTATTAAATATAGGACGTATGAGACCCGGAGGTGCAATCGTAGATAATAGATTTCAGTAAGACAGAAGAAGCTTTTTTTATACAGCCCCACAGTTTCCTCAATGAAATATATGTGTATATATAGCAGAAATTTTTGCAACACTCTGCAGTAAGAGGTAAGACATGATTGAATCTCTTTAATATTGACTGTAATAACATGAAACAAGACTGAATTCTCCCGGTATCCTCCTGGATGTATTATCTTATTCCACAGGAATTGTGCTTTGAGAAGGGCAGCATAACCGTGTCTTCATCTATAAGTGTTACTGCAGTTTCTCAGAGAAGAGAGTAAAGCAATGCTGTTGGAGCCAAAGGTTTGCAATGGAAATGTCTGGAATGGCAAAGAGTTTTAGACTTGTAAGATCCCAGACACATCCTTTCTGGGTGGTGGTCCCCATGCATCCTAGCAAATCCTCCACTTACCGGGGCACCTCCTTTTGTTTTACCTAGTCCATGTCTCTTGCCTCTCTTCTTCCAGCATAACAAAAACACAGTGGTTCTCTCTCAAAGGACTTTTCAATCTGCACTGCAGCCCTTCAAAACTCATGTCTCAGAGGGTCTAGGCACTGAGTTGTTCCTGTGAGTCTCGTTGTCCTCTTCTGGTAAAAATGACCTGAAACTGGTTCCTAAAAGTTTTTCATATATTTCTCTTTAAGGTTTCCACATCCATGCCTGCATCCACATAGCTGTAGCTATGTGAAACAAGCCCTTCCTCAAGTCTTACGAGGAACAATTTCCAGACCAAATTATCCTGAAAACCTGGAAAGCCAGTTGAAGCCAGCAGATGGGGATGATAGCGCTCTCTGAAGTTCAGCCTATACATCTCCAAAGCTTTGTATCATCATCTCTCAGCATGTTAACAAGTAGGGGGATCACGCCTCAAAATTATGATCCAAATGCACTTTTCACTTAGTCCTGAAAGCATGCGGCTCCTGTTTGGTCACTGCCACATCTGGATATTACCATCATGCACCAGTGCAGCACTGGGCACACAAAGTGCATTCAGCAGCACAGTCTTTTTGCTTCTTTCTGGCAGAAGCCCAGCTGAATTTTTAAATTCCAAAATTCCAAATTGAGCATGTGGTTGTCCACGGGTTTAAAAAAAAAAAAAAAAAAGCACAATCAGCCCAGTCTGGAGTTTCCAGTCATTGAAATGACAAACGGTTTCCAGAACGTAACCAGGTTTTTAGATATGATGACTGAAACTAGTGTTTCTAACAAAAAGATTGTCTTGCTTTTCTAGCACCTGTTTTTATTTACTAGCTTTGTGCTATTAATGACTGGTTAAAATGAGTACCAAAAGCCCATATAGACTTTCTTAACTCCTGCATTTATTAACATATAAGGAAGATCAAACAAAATTTGCAGAGCACTAGTCAACAACAAAATAAAATAAAGAGATCTCAGTTACCACAGGGAACAGTGAAGACAACCAATTTATTTGTAGTCTTAGGATATGTGTCATGAATGTCACTGTTTTGTTCATGGCAAGGTATCTTTTTTTAAGCCTGGAAATCCAGGTTAATGATGAAACCGGATCCGAGATAAAACGCTTTCCTGTCTAGAAACTGCAGTTGTTGTGTCTGTTTGTCTACAGGTGTATTTATAGAATCTCAGGCAGCACATCACCTACCAATGGAGTGGCTGTTGAGGGTGTGTGGTGCCCACCTGCTGTTTGGTTTCAATAGATACAGTGCTCTCCTTGGCTTGCTGTTTTAACAGAGAGCAGTGACTTCATCAATCAGGGATTTTTCCAGGGTTTATCCGCTTCCAGCCTCCCCCCATAAATATAACAGAAGGAAGAGAAATGGTTTACATTATGTAGAACATCCACATTTTCTTCCGAGTGCTGCACATTCGGTGCACGTTTGCTGGCTGGGGAGTGCAAAGCTGGAACGTGGATGTCTTAACTACCATCGGGGTAATGTGAAACAGGGGGCCTCTACCATGTCCCTGTAGGATGCGGAAAAGTCGAGAAGAAAAACATTGCCTTTATTAGTTAAATGAGATTGGAGTGATTACTTTGCTTTAAGATTGCAGCTCTGCTTCAAACTATGATTGAGAAACACTCGTCAGTAGTTAGCTGCTGTGGCTGTGGGAGAATCCTGCTGTGATATTTCATTTAATGGTGCACTGAAATTTTCCCTTCTTTTCAGATTTAATCTTTGGCATCTGTTAGGGGCCATTGTTTATTTTGTTTAGACTTGGAGAAAAACTTCTGTCAGGGAAAGGTCCAAAACTAGACCTCAGTGCCTCAGCTGACTTCAGGCTCTGAACTACAGGCTATGGCATCCTTTAGGTGAGCGCTCCGGAGAGCAGAATTATCAATATCTGAACAGAGAACAAGCTGAAAGGCTGTCCTCCTCCTCCTCTTGCATTTACCCCTCCACTCAGTCTCATTAGGCAAACGAGAAGCTTAATAAAAGCCACTTAAACTTGAGTAAAATCCTTCCTGCATGTTGGTATCAGCAGGAATCTCTTCCGTAGACGCCGAGTCCAAGCTAAAAACTCATCCACAGACTTTGTTTAGGTTGATTTAGAACTTAAAAAATTAGAATCACAGGCTGCAGCTGGGACTGTTAACCTTGATAAAGTATCCTCTTTCCATTCCCTGCAATCATGTCTTCTCTCTTTATTGTAAGGATCATAAAAGCATGATTTGTCTCTCTTATTTTGACAGGTTTTATCCCACCTCCGCTGATCTTTGGGGCTGGAATTGACTCCACATGTCTGTTCTGGAGCACGTTCTGCGGCGAGCAAGGAGCCTGCGCGCTGTATGACAACGTGGTCTATAGATACCTGTATGTTAGTATTGCTATAGCCCTGAAGTCTTTTGCATTCATCTTATATACAACCACCTGGCAGTGCTTGAGGAAAAACTATAAAAGATACATCAAGAACCACGAAGGTGGTCTCAGCACTAGTGAGTTTTTTGCCTCTACTCTCACCCTAGACAATCTGGGGCGGGACTCGGTGCCCCAAAATCAATCACATAGGACAAAATTTATCTATAACCTTGAAGATCATGAGTGGTGTGAAAATATGGAGTCTGTTTTATAGTGACTGTGGAGGGGTGAACTATATTAATAATACAAGGGTCCTTTTTAATAAAAACAAGAAAAGAGCACGAATTAAGAAACACAACTGCAAAACAACAACAGCAACACAGGAAACTTTTGTCTTTTTCTCAAAGTCAGACCCAGCCAGGATTCTTGAGAACAGCATCTTTTAATGGAATCACTTGTGACACCCTGCAGAGTGATGGAGAAAGCAGGGAGCCGCTGTGGCTGGGGACCAGCCCCTTTGATGACAGTACGAGCTTCCAAGAAGGGCAACTGCGGAGGTTCATCGGAGAGCTCGGCAAACGGACAGGATTGGGCATGAGGCATAGAGAAGGTGATAACAGCAGTGCTGGAATAGGCGTTTGTGGTTGCAAACAGGGTCCCGGGGATACGTGGAGCCCCGCAGCATGGGCTGAAGGGTTAGGCGGTCTGGGTGCTGTTCAAACCCCCTGCGTTCTGTGATGGCAAAGAGGGAGCAGTGCTGGAGTTGTTCCACCAGTCACACTCTGTCACCAGCCATGAGGCCATGATAAATACCTTGAAAGCTGCTGGAAACCTTCCAGGTGGCGAGCAATGCTGTCAGAGGTATCCAAGTCCTTCCAGCCGAGGCTTATTCGCAGATTGCAGCTTTGTGGTTGTCTGTGAATAGCTGTGCTCAGATCTCTCAAACCCAGTAAAGTTCAAGACATTTGCTCACACTTGCCAAACGTGCTGTCATTTTTAAAGGGGGATGAATTCCAAATACTTGTCTGTGTAGTCCTCTGATAAGATTTTTTTTTTAAAAAATTATTTTCAAATCTATGTTAACCCTTAAATCGCTGACACTTTTCCATAGGGAGGATTATTTATGCTAGTTTGGGGGAAGGATCCTGTTTAAACCCAAACACAACGTGACTCAAGGGGTTTCTTTAATCCTCTGCAGTTTTTATCCATACGCCTTCATTCTAACATGCTACCAAGCCAATGAAGACACGTAACATGTTTTTAAAAAAGAGAACGAATGCACTGTGTCTCTATAAAAACAATTGTCAGTTGGAGAATTATAGATAATATGATTTACATAATATAGTTTTTTCATATTCTATGTGACTCAGTGAATACACACATATATATATATGGAGAGTCTGTTTATGTTCTCTCCAGTTTTTAAAGAGATATATATATATATATATAATTTGCAATCTAGAAATTGTGTGGTGGATGTTTTCTTTAAAGTGTGTGTGCGTGTGCGTGTGTGTGTGTGTGTGTGTACAAGATGAAAGGAATACTGACCTTAACCCTGCAACCCTCACAATTGATTTTTTTTTTTTTAACCTGAGAAATTCCACTGACTTCAGTGGAAGCCACGTGAGGAAGGTGGAATAATCTCCCCTCCTGAAGGCCACGTTTTGCCCTTAGATGTGCAAATAGTGTTCCTGTGGATGGCTAGGTTATGGAAGCAGGGGCTGGCCAGCATTGAGCACCTCTGAAATTTTCATTCAGATCGTCAAGAGGTACCCATGCAGGAGCAGATTTGGCTTTGCTTTTGCAATGCAGTCTTATCTAAGCCTGCAAAAATCATGGGGAAGCTTTCATCTGATTTCAAGAAGCATGGGGTCAGGCTTATTTTGCATGCATGTTTTTCTTTTCCAAAACATTCCTGCTGGGAAGCAATACAAATTGGTTGTGTTTGATGAGGGTTTCCCCAGGAACCAGACCCATTTCCAATGGACTAAATGTCAGAAGGGTTTTAAGGGTTAGCATCATAATCAAAAAGCTCCTTTTTTTGTTTGTATTTTGAAGCTGTTGTGATCTTGCAGATGTTCAGAGAGGTAACCCAGCATGTTGAACCGAGTGCTGGACGTCACTTCCATGGAGATGGCAGAGGGGCTGATCTTCCCCAAGTCTTTGTCCATTGCTGGCAGTGGACACCCCAGAGTTGGCACAATTACAGAGGGTTGATAACTTGCCAGTCATGTTCAGTACCTTTTTAGCAGACTTTGCTCTTATCTAGGCATTGAAAGATGGGTGTGGGAAATCAAACTGCTTCCACTTGACTGACTTTACATGTGTGTTTGTAATTCATGCACAGCATTATATGTTCAGCAACAATAAGGGCAAAAAAAGAAAAAAAGGGTGTATCGAATAAACTCCACTGTGCCAAATACTTGACAGATTTTGTAACTGCAGATATTTGATTCTTGGTTTTCAGCCATGTTAAGAATCACTTGATTAATGAAGGAGTTTAAGGAAAAAAAAAAAAGTTACCAAGCTATGCAGTGCCATTGTTATGTTGGGTGGTAAATGATGCTTTTTAGACCATTAGATTGGTTTAGTATATCCTGTCTGCTAAAATAGAGATACTGCATCCATAAAACAATGAATTTAAAAAAGGCACAGGATGCATAACTGTCTCATAAAATATGTATAATTGTCAAGTATAAGCCTTTGAAATCATTCTGTACAGTTCTCTTCATTCTGCAAATTTATTACTTAGACTGCCGTCTTTTCAAATGTTAGCTCATGATTTTATACTATATACACACACATTCAGACTCGAACACAAATGTCACAGAATAGAACCTTTCTAAAAGCTGAGTGCTTGAAATTCTGTAACCCCTTTCACAATTTTATTTTTTTCCCCTCTGAAAGTCCGGGGTGAAGGAGAATAGCATGCTGACATGATGCAAAACAAACTCCTGGTGTTCAAGAGCTGTGGTTTGTCAGTACAGTCAAAAGTCCCCCTTGACCGGAATTACAGAAACAGGATTCCAGGGCGCTTAATGTTTTCATTTTTATTTTTGTTTCTTTTTTTTCATTTAATCTCTTCTCTTGGTATGTATGGAAGATGCAGTTGAATGGGTTACTTACATTATTTTTAAGCTGTAACTTAAAATTCCTGCACAATTGTTATTTCTTTTGATAATGTGTCTTTCGAAAGGCTCTCTCCCCATCCCACTCTTTTTTTTTTTTAAGGATGCATCATTTGCCTGCATCATGAAGGGCTTTCCTATCAGTGCTTTGGTACAGATTCAAGAGCAGAGCTTTAGTTTAAAGAAAACACACAGAGAAAAACCTTCATCCATCCCAGCAAGCTCTCTGGGGTTTTTTTTCTCATTTCAAAACTACAAGCCAATTTTGCCTGTGACCCAATTTTTGTTACAGAGTAACAAATGAAGAGTCTCAGACATCCTCCCGCTTCCCAAACTGCAGTATGGGCCTTCGCCTGTCGGCACTTCACTTCCATCCCGCAACTGCCTTAACCGTGCAGGAAACTTAAGAACAAGGGTGGAGTTAGAAAAACGCCCATTCTTGGGAACAGAAACAGGGGCATGGTCTGAGCTGTGCAGTCCAGATCTAATGTTGGGAACTTTTTCTCCATATTCAGGAGCACTGAAATTCAGGGCTTTGTTGAGCCCTCAGTCTCAGCAGAAATGTTACTGTTGACATTTCCAAGCACTGTGTTTCCTGCATGGCTGTCTGCTAAGGAATGGGATGTTTGAAAAAATAAACTTACTTGAGATTTAGCAGTCTCTGTGGGATTGTCCAGTTGCCTTGCGTGACTTCAGGTTGGGATTTCCTTTCTCCTGCACAGATACCACCTTGGCATAGCCCCAGTGGAATCAAAAGGGGACCCCAATCTAAAATTGGTGCAGATGATGCTAGAATCAGTTTTTTTGCACCCCTGTTAACAGGGGGATACATTTTCAGAACCTTCTTTTTTATACATATTGTAATGATACATTTTTCTGACTTTGCCCAGCACATCTTGGATGTATAGTGGGACCAAAAAGGCCATCACTTGAATTACCTAGACAAACCTTCCATTCCTTGGAAATTCAACCGATAGGGGCCTCACACTGCCATACCCCTGTGAGATGCACTGAACTATTCAGCACTGCTACTGTTAATCTCAGGTGGGTCTCACCTTGCAGGGGAGGTGAAAAGGGAAGGATGCAGAGAGGAATTAGCTTCAGTGAGCTGAGTTAGCTATGCTTCAGAAGGCTTCAGAATTGAACTGATGGTCTGCAGACATTTGGAAAGTGATTGGAGTATTTCCAAATGGCTGAGATGCATTGGCATTTTTTTCTTGAAAAAACAAATTAAAGAATTAAGGGACTGAATGAGATTTGGAGTCCCTCCTATCCCTATCAGAGTTTTATATTCATCACATTGCTGTTAGAGGTAGTATACTTCAGGTTTACCTTTGTGTCTCAGTCAGACACGTATTTTTTCTCAGTAAATGAGGTCCTGGGAGACAGAAAGGCAACTCCATCTCATGACCAGCAGTTTCACTCTGCAGCAAACCCAAGACAACCTGAAAGCTACCAGAACTGTGAAGCTTTAGACCCCAAATCAGCTGTGGCAGTTTGCTGCCATGTGAGAGTTTCTCACAGCTGGGTGTGTTGGGCTCAGAATTTTCTTAAAACTTGAACAGTCTTGATGTGAAGTTTGTTTTATTCTTGGCAGGTGACATGGGGAATGGTCAGTATTAAGGACATAGGCAAATGCTTCACTGGGCTGATGTGCTAACAGCTTTGTTCCTTTATTCACAGGGATTTCCAGACTTATTCCTATTCTGCCTTTAGACACAGCCACGCTCATCTATCCCCATCATTTCATGTGAACTATCTTTGCAGACAGAGGCGGGTTTGTTGTTGATCTCTCTAGATCTGCTTAATGCCTGGAAAGTTTACAGGTTCTCCATGCACAGGGCAGAGTGCCCCTGAGTATGAGCAGTAATACTGACCTGTTCCCACTTGCATTAGGAGTTTTTGCTTTTCTTACCTAGATCTGAGTTCACCTCTCCCAACAGCCCATGCTGCTGCTGTGACGTGCCTTTTTGGTTGGCAGCAACTCTAGGAGACTGTGAATATTCTCCTTTCCTTCCAACATGACACCCTCCTGTCCCTACAGGGCAGCCAGGATACAATTGGTGTGAATGTAGGCAGCAGTTTATTAAGACAGGCAATGATGCGATGGGAGCCTTTGGTATGAGCCAGGCTGAGCTTTGGTGACCTGGTAGTTGAGATTGATCCAGGGAGGAAAGGAACAACCAGGGCATTGTGGCTGAGCCTCCCAGAGTCCCTGAATAGATTGTCCACCCTTCAGTGCTGTCCTACAGTTAGATAGACCTTCCTGAGACCTACAGTTCATGGGTATTTCTTCCAAGCTGACCATCAGCTTCCTTTCTCCAGGCACAGTTCTTCCTTCCCCCGATGGCTAAGCACAGCTCGGCTCTACCAAGTCAATACGAGGTGTTCAGAGTTATTGAGTGGCATTTAAATTTGCCTAGGATGCCAGCAGGTCTCACTTAGTATTACATATGCTCAAAATATTATCATTTGTTCTGCTTTTATACACTAAATCTATTACTTCTAGGCTGCAAATTATGTTTTCTATCATTCCATTGACATTTCTAGCAATGCGAGTCTTAATACAATTGCTTCGCTGAAAAATGGCCTTTCAGCAGTTCTTCGACATTAGGTACTTCTTTATTAACTAGTGATGCCAAGTAAAATCTTTGGCCATTGTCTGTTCCCTTAATCCTGTGGAGCAGAAGGAGGCTCTGTCTGCTCACAGAATATGAGCATGGACCGCTTTTCTTTCAGCTCCAGTCTTGGCACAGCTGCTTGGCTATGAGCACCCCTCAGTCCTGAAAGGACACACCGGGGATTCAGGAGAAGCCACATGGACAGAGGAATCCCTTTAGATGGCTTCAAGAGTGGGACCACGGGATGTACGTAGTGTATATGCTGTGTGGCTTGTCAAAACGTTGCTTCAGTCTCTCTTTGTTTGATGAATGGAGTGACTCCAGGGATGGGGCCTTTGGGATACTGTGAGTTTGTGATGTTTCCCTCACTTCCTTCAAATTAAGTGTGGCAGAGTGTCACATCCTAGGAAGGAAAAGATTAGCAATACCCTGACAGTTTGTAGTGCTGGGCTTGTTCTACACGAAGTTGGTGTCTGCAAATGGCAGAAAGCAATAAGAAACTTGTCAAGTCCAACTCAGCAAATAATTTATAGCAACTTCATAAATGAATTTTCCCTTTTATTTCTTCCTTGTGAATTGCTGAGAAGACGAAGAAAATGCCCCCAGTGTATTTAATGCAAGGTCATTTCTGCATATCATCTGTGGTCTGGAGGGGTTTGGAAAAGCTTTCTTATAATTCATACATGTCGGTTTGTTCTGACTGGACATAAAAATCATGGAGGATATTTCTGCTCCCTGAGTTGCCTGGGCTGGAATTTTCTCATCAGTACAAATATTCAGTTCAAAAGTATGTGATTAGGAATTGAGTAAGTGGATCCTTGCTCAATGCCAGTGGGCAGAGCTCCACTGGACGTACACTGCTCCAGGACAGCCAAAGTGCTGGCTTCCAACTCACACTCCACTTTCCAGGAATATTCTCTCACAGATGCTTGAAATTCTCTGCCTCTCCCAGTGTTCCTACCAGTTAATGCATTCATTTGAGTAATTACTGAGAGCAAACATGAGAAAGGTATGAACCCAGACAAAACCAAATTGCTATTAAGGTGAAGCAGGTGGTGCAAATTTTATTTGCGATGTTTGCACAGCTCTTGGATCTGAAGCAAAAATCTCTTGGGAAACAGAGAGTCGCATATGGCCTAACATATCTTGGTTCTTCCCAACTGAATTGCCAGTTAGTAGGACAGCAAAAGGCATCTTTCCCTGCCACGTATATCTGAGCTCTTCAAAACCCTTTTCCTTTGCAGTGTGGCATCGCACAAATGTCAGTGCATTTACCCCTCAATGTAAACTGCATCTCAGTGCTATGTTTTTGGTGCCTCACAACTCTTAACTGTGTGAACTTGAAAGGAAGAAGTGACCCCTGTTCTTCGCCCGTGATGCTTTCTGCCTGACTGGAGGATGACGATCCCTCTTGAAGACTCATCAGACTCATCAGCCATTTTCCTAAAGTCTTACGCGCAGTGGGACTAAAACTGTGCTCTGTTGATTGCAGGTGTCCTATAAGCTGTGCTCAGAGGTCTGTAGCCTGTCTGCAGCCCCACATTGCCTTCACGATGTTTCCAGTGCAAAGCATGGTGATGAGGCTATGCATAACTGTCCCTGACAAATGTCAGGGGTTGCCAGCGGTCTGTGACCACCAAAGTTTAGGAGTCTCCATATTAGCACATGAAAGCAGCTCCCATCATCTACAGTTGAGAAGGAGCCATCTCAGAGCAGGGTGCAGTGGAATTCTGCAGCAGCGCTGGGATCCTGCGGAAGGGAGCTTTCGGTTTGCTTTGGTACCACGTCTGTGGGGAGGAGGGGTGGGGAGGGGAGCAGGGGAACAGCTGTGACCTTTTAAAACCCATAGTGCCTACCACTGCAAATGGAACGCTGTATTGTATTATATTATACATGACTACCGTGTAAATAAAGTACAATAAATGTGGTGTTTGTTAGGATTTTGATACAAGTCAAATGCAGTCTGCAGAAATACTTTCTTTTCCCTGCTGTATGTACTTATATCACATTCCAGGCGTGGGGACCTTTGTGGCTGTGTGAGCTAGAAATGCATAAATAGCATTAGATGGGAAATGTTTGCAATAAGAAACTCTTAAAATTCCCTTCGCCCTGTATAGATGAGACACAGGCACCATATGAAAACCAGCCAGAGTGGAGGCAGCTTAAATATGCAGGAGAGCAGCTCTTGACTTGACATGATCTGTAAGCAGAAGCGACAGTGTTGCCCAGCCAGTCCTTGGCCATGCTTCACTCATGATGGAGGGAGAGCAAAGTTTTAGTTTGGCTGGTTTATCTTTGCTTGTTTTCCTGATGCAGAGGTTGATCAGGAGCATATGCCTTGCCTGTGAAACCTGGTTATTCTCCACCCTTGAGATCCCTTAGCAGCAGCAAACTTGAGAGCTTAAAATTCAAAGCAGATTGGGAAAGAACTTCTCCTGTTCTTAAATCAACCAGCTGGCCCTTCTGTGGCTCTGACACACATTGAGGGGCTTTTTTTTTTTTTTGGCTAATAAGAATATTAGGAACTTAACTTTGTTCCTTAACTCACTCCTTTCTCCATCCTCATGTTTCTCCATGGTGTAATAACAGAATTAACACATTTCAGGGAGACCGGTCTGCCACGTGCCCTCCCAATCCTGATACACCTCTTAACTAGGCTCTTGGTGAGAATTTTCTCCAGTTTAGAGAAGCTCAGGAATTCTCCGGCAAGTGTTTGTGGCTGGTGTGTGGATGTAATCTTCCATTGGTGTGTGGAGGGCGCTTCCATGTTGATTGTCTTTTTGGAGGAACAAGACCACCCCATGCAGTTTGTCACACCTATGGCTCGAAACTCCCCCACAGAGCTCACAATATTGGAGGAGTATCCACCTGCCTCTGTACCAGACCAGTCAGTGATGTTTGTCCCTCATGTCACTCATGTTCTTCATAGTCACCTGGGCAGAGCAGCATTTGTGGGTGTTTGTATGTGAAGAAGGACATCTCCACAGATGGTCTGTAGCAGCGTGCATGGCACCTGGATGAGCCTAGGTACCTCTACCCTGCCTGGGGCTGTAGGTTGGTCTTTTCCTACAGTGCCCAAGGGAAAGTGGTCCTCGGAAAGGTCTTTGAAGTGTGCAGGCTTGACTGCTGGTAATTTTGCAGATGCTTAACAGCACTTCCAAAATAAACCAAAACCTGGTTTGAAAAAGGAAATGTTTCACTGTACGATTGATTTTAAAAAAAAAAAGGGGAAAAAAAAAAAAAAAAAAAAAAAAAGAAAGAGAAACCACATGCTCGATATATTTTGAGTACTGTGTTCTGTATTTTTGCAGCTTATATTTTCCAGATGAGCAGTTTAGAAATATGTGATGTGAAATACATACTGTAAGTTTGCTGTAAATGATATTAAAAACACTATTTTCATTCTTCTTCTGTCTCACTGGATGATCTCTTTGGTTCTGCCAGCTTGACTGGCTGGGCTGGTACTCTGTCTCTCCCAGAAAGTATTCAGTTTCAGTTAAAGCAGAGTTGAGACTTTGGGTTGGAGATCTGATGCTGAGGTTGAAAGTTTGCTAGAAATGGCAGTGGGGCTGAACATGTTCCCGTGCGTATGGAGTGCCTTCAGACGAGAGGTCCCGGGGAAGAAGTAGTTGTGGCAGAGAAGGTAAGGGGGGTTTTTGGAAGGGGATAGATGAAGTTCAATTAATGCTTCTAGAAAAGGAGAGGGAGAATGAGGACATCCTAGATGGAACTTCAACACCTGGAGGACAGTAAGATGAGAAGGACCTCAGAGGGAGCATGAGTTGAGCAGTTAGCAAAAATGCTGGATGTCTCGTTGTTGACGAATGTGTCTGACACTCTTTGTCTCAGTTCAGCTGTGGAGGGGAAAAAAAAAAAAAAAGAGCTTTTAGCTAAAATAGCAACAGCTCAGTGAAGTGGCAGAGCCCTGCAAAGCACCCTGAGCCCCTGCAGCTGTTTTTGCTCCAAGAGCTGCAGAGGCTTCTCCCTTCATCTCCATCAAAGCGCCCAGTGCCGTGGGGTCGGGGCAGCAGAGTGGCACATTTGTGAGAATGTGATGGTATCCATTTCCACTTGTTCTAGCTGCTGCTTTGGTCAAAATAAAAGCAAGCACTTATTTGACCCATTATTTTTAAAGGTTTCAAATCTGTTGTATGAAAAGAATCATTTTCTCCTGAGCTTCTACAAAATGATGCTAAATGAGGCAATTACATTCAAACTGTGTTGAATATTCAGTTATTCCTTGTTTGTTCCGTTTTTTTTATCCTTCCATGTTCCAGTTCTCTCTTCTTGGAAGGCAGAGGGCAAATCAACGATTAAAAGTTAGGATAAAAACCCTTCCATTTTACTGCATACAACTTGAATCCAACTACTGTTGCTTTGAATTCACTTTCAAACAACAGAAGCTTTGGAGAACGGTTCAGAAGGAGGGAGGGAGGGAGGCTGGAAAAAATGTTTTGCTAAATGTCAGCAGCAAAGAATCTTTTATTTATTTCATTTTATTGCTTTCCCTCAGCCAAGCTACTGCTGGTGTTGGAGCCTGCACAGAGTCCCTCTGAAGGCATCACTCCTGCACGCTCCACTGGCCGTTCCGTAGGGATCCCCGGCTGTCCCCGCAGTGGGTGTGCACACCAGCACACATCACACCCAGCTTTTCGGGGCCTCCCTTCAGCTGTCCTAGACCTTGCATTTTGCTGCTGCTTCTGACAGAACCCAGTTAATTGGGTGTTTACTGAGCTGGATTCTGTTGTGGATGCAGATTATTAACCTTTATGTCACCTAGAAGATATTACACCTGGTAAAGTTAATGTTTCGAGACGGAGAGGTTAATGTGTCGGTGTTCAGCCCTCCCTAATTAGCAGCAAGGCTGTGTGTGGCTGTGCGGTGAGCCCTGCTTTAATTAGATAGGACTCACAGATGTGTCACATTAACAACATAAGTTTACCTGCCTCCTTCAGCCCTCTCTGATGCATCTCCTCCTTGCTGTCTCTAGGCCTTGGGTAAGTCTTGCTGTCATGCTGCCTGTCGCATGAAGGGTGCGATCCTGGCAGCCTTCCTAAAGCTAGTCTGCTTGTGGTCTTCTGAGCCTGGGCTTGGTCTAAGGCAGCAATTGGTGATGAGGTCTGGGGTGCTCCAAGCTGAGAAGGTTGTTGTGTATCTGTGCTTAGCCGAAGGTTTTAGCTCTGCACCAAGTTTGCTCAGATCTTGAAGCCTCTGCTGATCTTCATGGTGCTTCTGAGCTGCCTGGATGGCATGAAGTAGTTGTTTGGGCTTAAAATAACTTGGTTTGGTTTTGTATTCTGGTGTTCCTGTACTTGCAACTAGAGCATGCCCTAGGATGTGTGCTTACTGGAATAAACATCACTTAGAGATCTGGTGGTCAGGAGTGGAGAATACTGGAAGGATAAAACGGGCCATTGGAATTATGAACTCTTGTACCACCAACCTTGTTTGAAGAGCCCTGCTCAGCCAGTTGGGGAAGATGGACTGATCCCATGTTATTCATGGCAGAGCAAAATTAAGTATTTATCCCTTGTTTCTGGTTTCCTATTGATCTTGTGGCAAATGTGGGCCAGGCAGGAGCATGGGTTTGTGCCTTGCAAGTCTAGGAACTGCCTGTCTTCAGAGAGCTGTTTGTAGTTTGTGTGCTGACTGACCCTAAGCAGCCCTGAACCACACTGTCTCCTCGCTGCAAATCCATAGAGATCTCATTACCAGGAGAAAGGGGTTGTTCTGCAAGAGGCAGCTGCCTGCTGATCCACACATTTTCCATTTGTACCTCCTGCTGTCTCTCAGCTCTGTAGGGACAGATCCTGGCTCACGTGACTAGTAGGAGGTAATGAGATCAGACATGTACTTCGAGCAGTCTAGGAGCCTGAAGGTTTTCCCTTCCAAATTCTACTTTTAAACAGCAGGTGTGTACCCAACAGCCATGTGCTGAATCGTGTACCTGTACCTCGGATGCTGAGACAAAGGTCTTAGGCACATGTGCGTTTTGCAGGTACCTAGAGGCCTTCAAAATGCTGCCAGGCTACCTACTGTTTCATTATTGTGGTACTATTGGCCATCGCTGCTTCTGTAAGTGAGCTAAATTCCTCCCCATTCATTGCTCCCAAATGGGCTCACTGCTTTCTGTATGGCAAAGGGCATTCTATGTCATGCAAGTAGCAGGGAGACGTGCACGTGGAGCTCAGTAAACGCAGGCACCCGGTGTAAGGCTGCTTTTGTACAGGGCAGAAGGAAAGTGCTTGACGCCTTCCCAAGTGATGCTGTTATCTGTGAGCTGTGCTGCAGGAGTTCCTCCAGTCCCTGACACCGAATGAGCCATAACTGACACAAGTGTTCTGCAAACTCTGACTACAGAAGTGCCTGTGATCTATACAAAAGATAACCAGATGGAGGCTGATAAATGAGGGATAGAGGGAAAAATGACTAATCTTTTCAGCCTGCTTGGAAGAGGTGTTGCACATCAAGACCTACCTTGGTTATTATGAGTCAACTTTCAGCAGCACAAGGAGGAATCTCAGTCCCTGGCAGGTATCTCCTCTGTAATGTGGTGGATCTCACCTCCATCATGACGTGGCACTTGTCCTTCCACACAAATGCTTTTGAGTTGTGCAGGCAAAGTGCAAAAACAAACTGCTAACTACAGCCAGTCAGAATATTCTTCATGAGGAAAAAAAATGTCATTTCCTCAAAATTATGACTTTTTGTGGGAATATCTCCACTTCAGTGGCATTTCGCTCAAGTGAGATCTGATGAGCGCGCAGTGTCTTGTTGGAATTGGATCATTTAGAGTTTTCTTTGGGGAACTGCAGCTTGAATTCTATCGGCATATAAAATAGGGTATTTGGACTTTTATCAAAATGAAATGTTTTGATTGCCTTTAAGCAATCTTATCTGCTTAACACTACACATCTGTGGAAATTTTGAAATTCAATATTTTGTTCTATTTTGAAATACCAGTGCGTATAGACCTTATGGAATTTTTCACAGATGCTTCTCACCACTCCAGACCCCACTGGTAAATACTTCTAGTACGTGACCAGCCTGGGGGTTACGTGGGACATGGGAGCAGACACAGCTGCTGGGAGGGAAATGCAAGAGCATACAGTCACCCAACAGCAGGCCATGCTCTTGCCAGACAGCATGAGGATAAATTCTTCTCCTAAGCAAGTGAAGGATTATCCATCACTCAGTTTCCTTTTTCCATTGATCCAGTCTTTGAGAGAAGAACTAATGTATTTAAAAATCAAAGCAAATGGTGCATTTTCCTTGTTAAGAGGCCAACATTCATTTTAAAATTGGCTTCATGTCTGCTCTTTTGCAAATTTGCATCTTCCCCTGGTGTTCCCAGCAGGGGATGGGAAGATGCTGCCAGCACTGTCCCGCCAGTGCAATGCCTGAGCTGGGCTCACCCTCAGACTGGGAGCACCATATTCAGGGGCAGAGCTTGCTCGTGTCCAACGGGCTGCAAAGAGCTATAGCCTATATTTTTCAGAATGCAGAGGTCTCAGTAGGAGGAGAGGCTTATTTTAGAGGTGGAAATCCATGAAGGTGAAGAGCAGCTGCAGAAGTCTGTTTTCACTGGCCTTGTTAGGTAGGGGAAAACTGTTTGAAGGGGACAAAGTGCAGATTAGGGGAGTTTGTTCGCTGTCTGAGGTCCATGGGGCGCTCTGTCTGTTGTGAACATTAGCTCAGCACATGGACCTTGGTGGCTGCCACAGTGCTTTTCAGCAGAGCCATTCCTCCACCTCTCAGGTTGTTTAGTCCATTAGTCACCTCCCTGGCCTTAGATAGTCAGGTTTTCATTAAAAGCCTTGAGGCTGGAATGATGATGCTCAGCAGAGGTTCCATTTTCATCTCTAGGAGATGACCAGAAAGAATAAAAATGGTCTCAATATACAGCAAGTTATGAAATTTTCTACTGAGACAGGGGAGAGAAAAGGGGATAGTGACTTCTATCTTCTTCTCAGGTGGACTCAAGATGGCAGTGAGGAGAGAACATGCCCCTAAAGGCTGCAGGATGGCCTGTGCAAAATGAACAGGGGTCCTCAGGCTGTTTCCAGTGGGCAAGTGCAGAAAATTGACAGATCTAGCAACCAGAAATTCAGAAGGTGAGCGAATGCTCAGGCTAAAGTGGATTCTCATCCTGCTTTACTCTTGGAGATGGTTTCTGGGATTGAATTTGTTATCTCTCGAGCACTTTCTTCATGT